TTCACTTTTGTTGGCTTGCTGGCTTGCTCTTTCGCTTGCTCCATGTGTTCGTGTGTGACGCACATCTTCAGAGTGCGAGTCGACACCCACAGGAGTGTCTCGGCCGTGGAGGCACGAAGTGCGATACTAGCGTGAATATGATCTCTTCTCGTAAGGAAGAATCGTCTTTTCCAGTGAATTCGTGCATATGTTAACTTTCTTGAAATTGGTGTTATGTTCTCCTTTATCAACGTGTTTGCGTGTCCCCCCACAAACTGTCATGATTGGTTCCCTTGGAGTGTATGCTTTGCTCTTCCCACCAATTGGTATGAGCCTTTTTTTGTGTTTGCGCTCGCTGGTTCTCGATCTCATGGGGTTTGCTGTCTCTCAACGTTTTTTTAACGAACAGACGCACTTTGCCTTTGTACTCGCTTGTGCTTGAACGCCCAGCTAGTAGAAGAGTAAATGGAATTCTCCGCCAGAAATATTTTCGTTTTCGGCGAAAAAAATCAGCACGCAATCTATTTTCCTGATTTTCCTTTTTCGTCTTGTATTCTTCCTATTCTTTGAATTTCATACCTGTATTTACTTTTTAAGAAAACTTGTACAAGCTCTCCTTTGTGCTGAAATACCCCCCAAAAGATGTGGGAAGATGGCAACACCCCTCTGAAATTTCAAAGGAAAATTTTCCAAAGCCTTTGAAATGCCCTTTTGGATTTAAATCTTTGCGATCTACCCCTGAAAGGTGGAGGTGCAAGTATGCATTCTGCCCCTGACAGGTGTATAGCACAAACACAGCAACCCCGCGCCAACAGTTTAATTCAAGCGAAAGGGCATTTCACAAACTTCTGGAATTTCACATGAACGCCCCTGTGCAAAGATGACAGTCAGAAATCCGGAAATGATCCAAATTTTTCAAAGGGGAGAGAAAATTCAGAGGGGTTTTACACTCTACCGACATCTTTTAGTAGGGGTATTTTACCACATAAGCTCCAACTTCTTCACTGTGCAAAGGGTATTTCGCAACTTCCTCCCTTTTGATTTCCTGAAGGACTTTTGTATTACAGTATTATAAATGAGCCCACCGCCCAAGGCAACAATAGAAACATCACTTGATCAGCTTAATATCTGATCCGTGGTCCATCGGACCATACGATATTAAATTAATTAATCTGGGCCACGGAGGGGTCCTACGAGTAAGCTTGCTTACTCGACCCCTCCATTGTCTCCTCTGTATTGCACTGCGGCAGAGTGCCGCAGCCCTCTGAAAAACAAAACAAAAAAAAAAACAATCAAAACATCAATCAAGTTCCAACAGCCACCGAAGAGACGGGAAGCCGGCTGCCGGGCGGTGGGTGTAGCCATGGACATCATCTCATCTAACAACTACTAACATCGAACAGGTGATTACTCATCTCCTATGTATCAGTGCGGTCATGACCGTGGGGCCGCTGATCACACGAGGTTGGGATCATGACCGCCGGGCCCGACGGGCCGGACTGCGGCCGGGGCCCGACGGGCCCGACTGCGGCCGGGAGAATTAACTCGTAGGGAAATAGGAGAAAATATATATGTGTATACAGGGTTACCGGCGTTCGGGACCGGCCGAACACCAGAACCCGAACCCGAACACCCGAATGTACGGGACCCCTTCGGAAGGCGTTCGGCCGTTCGAGCCGAACGCGGACCACAAAAAAACAAAAAAACAAAACAAAAAGTTTTCAAAAACTTCCGAAAAAAACATATGTTATGGAGACAAATAAACTAAATAACATTTCCCTGGGCACTACATCCAAATTCTGTACCAAATTTGAATTAAAAATCCAATACAGAAAATAAACACTATGATAAAAATAAGCAAAAATAAAAAGAGAATTAAAATGAGTGAGTGTGCCAGCACCTTTTCGACACTGCCATCTTTGACGATTTTTAATTATTTTTTGGCATTGACAAATGCCCTGAACATTTACGGATATGTAGTTTGCATAATCAATAACTCATTAAAAAGTTTTCAAAAAATTATAAAATTTTTTAGGCACCAAAATAAAATGAAAACAAAAAGTTAAAAGTGAAAAAAAACAAAATAGTGAGTGGGCAAGCACGTTTTGACACCCCCATCTTTGACGATTTTTAATGTTTTCTTGGCTTAGCAGAATGGTCTTCAAAAGTCTTAGATGTGGAGGTTAAATCATAGAGAACTCACAAAAAAAAATTCAGAAAAAAACACTTGTTTTTAGGCCCCTAAATGTTTTTTGGCGGGGGCCGAACCTGGAGGTGTTCGGTCCCCGAACAGGACCCCGAACGCCCGAACGTTCGGGCGCCAGCCCGGGGGCCCCCGAACGTTCGGTCAGGTAACCCTGTATATATATATATAAAATATTATATATATCCTAACCCTTAAGCAGCATTGGCTGCGGGGGGAGGCCGGTGCTCCGCTGCGCGCCGGAACCGGGTTGAACTTTTGATGCGGGTCGGGGGATGAAGGAGATCGAGGGAGCGGAGGTGTGTAGAGCAGTGCGTGTACCGAATTGTTCACAGCGCGCCATTAAACGAGAGACCACGCCCATCGGGCTGGGCGGCGGCGGACGTTGATGCGAGGGAATCGGGCTGGGCGGCGGCCGCGACCGCGCGATCACGCCCATCGGGCTGGGTGGCGGCGGGAGTTGATGTGAGGGAATATCTTGAAGCGGCCGCCGTCGGATAGCACGAAAGCGTCGTTTTCTGGCGCGGGCGTTGATGCGAGGGAATATCTTGAAGCGGCCGCCGTCGGATAGCCCCGGGGCCCCTGAACGGGACCCCGAACGCCCGAACGTTCGGGGGCCAGCCCGGGGGCCCCGGAACGTTCGGTCAGGTAACCCTGTATATATATATATATATAATATTATATATATCCTAACCCTTAAACAGCATTGGCTGCGGGGGGAGGCCGGTGCTCCGCTGCGCGCCGGAACCGCGTTGAACTTTTCATGTCGGTCGGGGGATGAAGGAGATCGAGGGAGCGGCGGTGTGCAGAGCAGTACGCGTACCGAATTGTTCACAACGCGCCATTAAACGAGAGACCGCGCCCATCGGGCAAGGCGGCGGCGGGCGTTGATGCGAGGGAATCGGGCTAGGCGGCGGCCGCGACCACGCGATCGCGCCCATCGGGCTGGGTGGCGGCGGGCGTTGATGCGAGGGAATATCTTGAAGCGGGCGCCGTCGGATAGCAAGAAAGCGTCGTTTTGTGGCGCGAGCGTTGATGCGAGGTAATATCTTGAAGCGGCCGCCGTTGGATAGCCCGGTGGCCCCCGAACGGGACCCCGAATGTCCGACCGTTCGGGGTCCAGCCCGGGGGCCCCCGAACGTTCGATCAGGTAACCCTATATATATATA